ATCTAAATTTAGCCTTTCAGTTTGTAGCCTATAACAGCCTGTGTTATGCCAGCATGTTGCAGAATGGGACCCTTGCTCTCTGTGGGGAAGCAGTGCTCCTTTGCAGAGGTCTGATATTTCCCCTGTGTGACAGCCAGAGAGCTCCATTCAGTGAGAAGTACCTTTGCCGGTTGCAGAGTTATAGGTCTAACTCAGCTGGGGGCATGTCGGACTTCTACAGAAAGACCATTACTTCCACACAGAAAGCAAGGGACCTTATCATCAGCATGCTGGCAGAGAACAGGCTTTCCTACCCAAGCTGTGGCTGCTTTAGAAATAAAAAAAGACTGTAGGACATTAAATACTTTTTGTTTTGCTGCATCTGGAATGTATTTAACCAATTTAAATATAAAGTTCAATAGCGCTTTAAGTTATATCTTTGTGACACAGTAATATAATATTATAAATCAAGACTAATTGCCAGACAACCTGGTCAGATGACATTTTGTGTGTCTTGCCACTTCAGAGCTCTATCAAGGAATTCTTGCACAAACAGTGCAATCATTACCCTCTTGATATATTCTTGGATGAATGCAAAAAGCTGTTGGATCAATATGAAAATGCCCTGATGGATAGCATGGAAAAATGGGTGGTAAGATCTTATGTTGCTTTTACCATTTGTGTTCATAAGTGACTTCACAGTTGTAAAATCTGGCTAAAGTACCTTGAGACCTCCTTATCCTGTTGTTTTCTATCTTTGTTAAAACACATCTTTTATTAAAAAGAATGCTCAATGAACCTGCCAAGAAAGTCTTTCAAGTCTCGTTCAAGCACTTCCGGTTATAGGATACCAACTATTTCCCAGCTGTGTTCCTGAGTTGTCACCCTGTCACGTGCTGCTCTGGAGGATGCTTGCCAGCACACATTGAGCAGGCATGGTCCACCATTGTTACTTTCAGGTCCAGAGCTATAATGTGCCATCAATGCTGGAGCAAGTGCATGTAGACATGCAGTGGCTGAAAGAGGATGGGTGAGATTACAGAACTGAGATGCCAAGAAGGATTAAAAAAAGATGAAGACGGTGTTTTATTATTAAAAAAATGGTCATTGCTTATCACATAAGCTGATCTAGCTAACCAAATGTCATCAAGTTAAAGAATATGTAAACCCAACAATTCATATTCCTGATATGTGACTGCTGTACCTTGTGCTTTTATGAAAAAGTATCCTGTTCACTTTGTATTGCTTCCTTTGTGTGAAATTCCTGGTGTTCCTGCCAGTCCCTCTGCTTTCCTATTCAAAACTCATTATACTAGAGCAAAGCGTGGTGAGTTTTCTGGTTGTACTGAGAGCTTAGCCTGCCTTCCTCCAATGATCAGTCTTCTGCTCTGATGCCCCTCTTCCTGCCCAGCCATTCACGGCAAGATCAGTGTTATGCTGTTTCTCCTCCCCCTGTTCTCAGCTGCATGAGGCCCCTTTCACGCAGGGCAGAGTCCGTCAGTGATCCGCTGTCTCCGCAGGGGATTTGCCTTCTGATCCCCGCTGAGCAGGTGGATGACAGGTCCGTGTCCACTCTGCCTAAACCAGCTTTCCTCTATGGGCAGTCAGATGTGAATGGACTGCCAGTTCGTTTACACCCGACTGCCATCTGGTCCACTGAATGGTAGAGGAACGAATCCCAATACGTCTGTTTTTGGCGGATTGGATTGGATGTAGGCAGTTGTAAATGGACATACAAAAACAAACAAAACTGCACTTAAAGTAACGTACCAAAAAATATAATTCGTGCTCAAATCATTGCTGCCACTTCTAATAAATCAATGTGTCCAAAAAAGGAACAACTTAAAGTGGTTCAGTAGTGCAAAATACCATAGAGTGAATAAAACAATAAAACTATATATCAAAATATGAGTTTTTATGTGAAAAAGTCCCAAATAAAGTCCTTAATAAACATACAAAAATCTTCAATATCTCCCAGAAAGTTCACCACGTGTACAAAATGAAATGTCCCCCCTTTTAGGTGTGCACTCACCAAATGAATATGCTCCCCACTCTCATGGTTGGCCAAATCGCTTAAAGAAAAGAATCACCATCTCCCATACACCAAGATGTCACTCTCTTCAGGATGGACAGGTATCATTCCATGGATTGGTTGGTAATAGATATAAAGGCATTGAAAATGGTCACAGCCACACCCTTCTTCTTCCTCTATGATCACCTCCCAAATGGTCATGTAAAGGAAAAAAAAAACCACAAAAGAGAAACCTAAATGGTGCAGTACAAAATGCCTTCTTTATTGGCCCAGATAGATAGCCACTTACAAGAATAAAAAGAATATCAAGCTCAAATGCTGCAGATAATGAAACCGAACCATGTGAACCCCTGCAGTGATCTCTCACCACCGCCGTGTGACCACAAAATGGCGCCAATCACATCACTTCCGGGTGCTGCCCAGTCCTGCCATATGTCCTTTAAAAAAGGAGAATGGAGGCGAGTCCGCCTGAAAAATGGACAGGGCGGACCCAATTGGAATGTTTGTGTGAAAGAGTCCTAAGAAGCTTATAGGGTATGTGATTACTTATAAAACAGGGAAAAAATTTATTTAGAATGTTTTTTTATATCTATAATCAAATGTTTTGCCTTTCATTTCTATTATAAACTGAATGGGTTGTTTTACAAGGTAAGGGTTTACATATACTTTAAGGTTTAGATCTGCTTTAGACTCCATGCACACTACATTAGGCTATTATCATTTTTTGAGCTTCAGCATCTAGGAGCAGAAAAAAGAATTGTTTTTGTAGAGTTTTTTGGAATGTTTTTCCAGCAGAAATAAATGCTAAATGCTACTAAAACGCTCCTAACAATTTTTTTCTAGCTTTTTTTTTTTTCTCTACATGTACTTTAAAAACGCTAATGCTCATAAACACTTCTGAACGCTCCTAAAAAATGCTATTACCAGTGTTTTTTATCCAGTGTTTCTTAAACTCAAAAAAAAATGCTAGTGTGCCTTACCTGGAGTTACCTGTATGTTGGGGTATGTCCCTAACACTCATTAAATCTGAGGAAACTACTTGGATAAACAGCAAAACATCTTCAGCAGTACAGACCAAGTCCAGTTAACTGTGACAGACAACGCCTAGCTCTTCCTGTTCATGTGTTCACTGTGACAGCTGTCAAAATGATGACAGGATAAAAGACCCTTGATAAATAAGATTTTCTAACCTAAGATATCCTTTTTCCAGATTAGTTACTGTATGCTTCTTTCTTTTTTGTTATTGTAAGAGGAAAATGAAGTGTGACACTTGGCATGTAATGTATTGATCAGATAACAATAATTCATTGTTTTTGTTATTTTATTGATACCTTTTGGCTTCCATTTTTGATAACGCTGGTAACGTTAGCTGTGTAAAGTCACGTTTTCAGCTTTTTAGTGTTTTTGCATTAGCGTTTAGCAGCATTTTGCCATGTTTAGCAGTGTTTTCCTGCGTTTGCTTTTTTTAACATAAAATTTTTTTTTTGTCAGAAAAAAACATCCAAAAATGCCAGTCTGTGGCGTTTTGCCGTGTTTTTCAGTGTTAGAGCATTTATACAGCTAAAAAACTCCTCTAGAAACCTACTAGTCCTGGGTTTTTTTTCCAGCCAAAAAACGTTGATTACAGCCTGTGTGCATAGAACAAAATGTCAAAAGCCCAAAATGGCAGCTGTAAAAACATCCTGTGTGCATGAGGACTTATAACTGCAGTAACTTAAAAAGATAAAAACTCTGTCCATCAACAAGTGTATCCATCCTACAAAAAAATCAGGGCCATGATCGGTTTTGTGGCAGTGGTCTTCATAACTCTTCTTGATGTTTTTGTTGCTTGGAAAAATTTTATTGGAGTCTATTAAAGGCCTGTGTTGTAGTGATTCCAGCGGTTTATACCTTTGTCACCTAGCAGAATGTGGAGCTGGCTTCAGAACAGGGGCAGACTGACCATTTGGAAACTCAGGCACTGCCCGAGGGCCCGGGGGTCAGTAGGGGGCCCCATGAGATGCCCCTGGTACCTTTTTCATAGGCTTTTTTGAGTTTAGGCGAGGACACAGGGGCCCCATGATCCCCTATTGCCCGGGGGCCCCATGAGTTGTCAGTCCGCCCCTGCTTCAGAAATTTTCCCGCACACAAAGTATGGCAGGCTAGCTGGCCATACACGGGTTGAATGGAGAAATCTAACACATTTTTTTTCTTTAATCCTTTATATTAAGTGGGTGTGTTGCCTCTAGGAACCAATCATATTCCAAATGTAATGTCTTGTAGTGATTGCAAGCTCTTCTGATGAATTTGTGTAGCAGTGAATTGATTTAAGACATTTATAAATCCATTTTGTTCCAGAATCCTGCTACAGTCTGCGCTAAACTCTCCTTGTGTCCTCACGACCAGTATGATAACTTGAAACTGGAGCTGTTAAGTGACTCTTTCTTTCTGAAAAATATCTTGTCTGTTGTCCATGAAAATGTACAGAGTATTCATGACAAAATCACAGAGGTAAAAGATTTTATTATTTATATGCTAATGTACAGTTAACCACTTGTCCTCCAAAGGATTACCCCCACCCCCCCCCCCCCCCCCCCCCCCACTTCCTGCCCAGGCCATTTTTTACGTTACGACGCTGTGTTACTTTAACTGACAATTGCACGGTCAGGTAACACTGCACCCAAATGACATTTACATCCTTTTTTCCTCAAATAGAGCTTTTTTTTAGTGCGTTTTTTAATTTTTTGTGCTATAAAAAAAAAAGACGACATGTTTGAGAAAAAAAAAAGCAATATTTTTGAGTTTTTGCTATTAAACATGTCCAATAATAAAATTTTAAAAATCTAATTTCGTCATAAATTTAGGCCAAAATGTATTCTGCTACAGGTCTTTGCTAAAAAAAAAATTTACAATACGTGTAAATTAGTTGGTTTATGTGAAAGTTATAGTGTTTACAAATGGCTGTATATATACTGGAATTTTATTTTACTAGTAATGGCCGCGACCAGCAACTGTGGCTGGCATTCTGACACTGGGGGAGGGAACTGACTAACTGCTACTGACATCCCCAGTGACACCAACACAGTGATCAGTGCTAATAAAAAGCACTGACACTATACTAATGACACTGGGAAGGAAGGGGTTAACATGTAGGGTTTACTGTGTGCTGTTTCACAGTATGCTGTCTGTGTGCTGTCCACTCTAAGCACATTGCTTTGTATGGCTCTGCTATGCAGAGCCATACAAAGCAGTGTGCAGGAGCTGACAGGGGAGAGATCTGTGTTGTTTATACACAGGTCTCTCCCCCGTTGGAGATACTCAGCGATCACCGGTTGCCGGTGAGTAATCACTGACCGAGACCCAGTGATTGACAGCCTAGGTCGCGAATAGTGGCACGCGCACACCACCTACCTGGAAATGCAAAATCACGTATACATTTTGTGCACCCATGCCGCCCTGTAGCAGTATTTCTGCTATAGGGCGGAGGGGAAGCAGTTAATATAAAAAGCTTACAATCCTTGTGTGGCCTTCCGCAGAGAAGCATTTCCAGTGGCTGATGTTCCCACCACTATGCTTCACAGTGGGGATGGTGTGTTTATCATAATGTGTAGTGTTGGGTTTATACCAAATATGATCTACGATCATATACCCAATTCATTTAGAATCTCTCATGTGCCTTCTGGAAAACTGTAGGTTAGATGTCATGTAAGTTTTTTAGTTAGCATTGGCTTCTTTGTTGCAACTGGTAAAGCACATGGGTGGTGGTTGTCATATGCGTATATCATATGAATCTTACCCACTGAGGGTTGTAACTTCAAACTGTCATATGTCTCTTGGTGGCCTCTCACTAGTACTCTGCTTGCATGGTTGCTCAGTTTAGGTGGAGGACCTGTTCTTGATAGATTTACAGCAGTGCCATGCTCTTTCCATTATTTAATGATTGATTAAATCATCCTTCAATTGATGTAGATGATGTTTGGAGAATAGGGATATCATTTTGTGTCACTTTAAGATCTATAGAGTTAGAAAATGTAGTCTCTAAATGGATAGAAAACCGGCTTAAAGACTGTATTCAGAGAGCATGAGAGAGACCACCACTCCTTAAAGGTATATTTATTTATTTCAAGTACTTATATAGAGCCATCAATTTACACAGTGCTTTTACATATATATTGTATATTCACGTCAGTCCCTAACCCTCAAGGGGCGTACAATCTAAGGACCCTAACTTACATTCATATACAAGGGCCATTTTAAACAGGATCCAATTAACCTACCAGCATGTCTTTGGAGTGTGGGAGGAAACCCACGCAGGCACAGGGAGAACAAGCAAACTCCAGGCAGAAGGTACCATGGCTAGGATTCGAACCAACGACCCTAGTACTGCCAGGCGGAAATGCTAACCATTTAGCCACCGTACTGCCCATGTGCCCATATGAATATACTGAACACCCAGCAAGAGCACAATGGCAGCGAAGGTAAGCAGTAATTGATTTGGGGATTCACTGTGCTCTTGCTGGGTGTTCAGTGTGCTCCTAACCTTTTAAGGAGGGGTGGGCTCCCTCCAGGCATACCTGCTCTCAATCTGTCCATTATTATATACTGTTTGTGCTCCGACTTTGGAGGCTTTCAAAACTTATAGATTTAGGACTGCAGATAAACTGGGCTGCCATGAAGTGGCCTCTGAAGCGTACACATATATTTGCAAATGTGTGCAAACTAAACCCCTTGTTTTAGCGCAAACTGAACTGTAATTCGGTTTGTTGCAGGATAGCTGGTAAGTGAGCTGAGCATTTTTATTTGTTATTGTTTGACATGTGTCGCCCCTTCATGTGCTCCTTGTTGCATAGGACAATTACAGATTGGAGTGGTTGCCATTTTGTTTGTAGTAATGTTTCAATCTGCCTCAATGAGGGCCTTCTGGAGGGGGGGGGGAGTGTAACAATAATCATATAGGTACATATGTTTTAGTTTACCCAAGCAGACTATTTCAATATTTTTCATTCTTTTTCAGAATATGAAGGAAGACTTGCCAATTCCAAAGCCAATGTGTTGGATGTGTAAATCATTTGTCAGTAAATTTGAGGCAGCAATCCCAGTGGTACGTATTCCACAGCAAACAATGCCCTGCTAGACCTTTACAGTTCTAAAGAAACAAACCTCTGTGGGTACTGCTGTTACCACTGTATTTATCATTGTTGCAGCCAGTATACAGAGCTGTACCCTAAGCAGTGGAAATAAATCTTTTCCGAGCCTAGAAATGTACTATACTGCTTCATGGGCATTAATGAGGGATCACCTTATACAGATGTGCTCATTGGGACCATCTTAAGCTCTAATTACCTTATGAGCAAACCTCTTCATGACAGTAAAAATAGCAATGTCTATTACTCAAGGCACACCTGCAAGCTGCCTCCCCGACCTAAGGTGCAATTTTTCTTGGCTTGTACCAGACTCATCTACATGGCATTTAAGAAAATTATGACAGGCACACTTCAAGATCCAAACTATACTTGTACTGCATGTCCTTGCTTGGCCCCCTAGAGCACTTCATCTTTATTGTTTCACTCCGAAGAGCTTAAAACTCAAATCTGGTCAAAATTAAAATTTTAACAGTATATACTACATAGTTAGTCTGGCTGCAAAAAGACAAAAGTCCATCCAGTTCAACCATTAAAAAAAAAAAAGTAATAATCCTATTCCCACAGTTGATCCAGAGGAAGGCAAAAAACACCCAGCAAAGCATGATCCAATTTGCTCCTGCAGGGGAAAAAAATTCCTTCCTGATCCCCCGAGAGGCAATAGACTAAATGATTTACCTCTCCTGGGTGGGTTCCACGAACACATAATGAGATGGAGTCTTCAACGCTCACCTCTCAATTGCTCTGGGAATCTTTTTTTCCTGCCATATAGATCAGATAGTTTTGGCTGCTTGTTATCTTTCTGGGGACTGGTCCCCTCACTTCCCCTTGTAGTTCTGCTGCCTCTGAAGCCTCTGGATGGGACCTTCTTCGTCCCCTCCCCATGCTGGAACTTGCGCCTCCACCAAAAGGAAGTGTCCACATAGCAATGATGTGCACATTGGGAAGAAGGATCTGCTGGATGTAAACAAAAGAGAAGAGGAGGCTCGGGACCCAAATGTCATGTAGTTGAGACTTCATAGCCATCTGTACTGATTTGCCAAGCTCTAAGTACTGTGGGTTTTGGTACGGTTACATTTTTTTAGTCAAACACAGCAAATTCTGTACTCCTGCACTCAGGATGGACTCAGCAGAGGTAAGGGTGACAATATAAATATCCTGGAATATGCACTCCTTGCTGCCCTCAACGGACCGGGGTAGTCCAAAGTCACTGAATGCAAAAGAAAACAAAAAGAGGGCGCTCCGGCCTAGTGCATTATCGTAAAAAATATTTAATGAAAGGATTAAAAGTAGGTATCGTACTCACAATGGACATATAAAACACAGGCACATCACAATAATCAGCGGTGTTCAGTCCACAACAATGGAACCCTGGCTCTGAGGAAGAGGCTGAGTCCTCGAAACGCGTTGGCAAGTTGGTTATCCAAGGTTCCATTGTTGTGGACTCAGGTGCTATATGGTTTGAACACCGCTGTTTATTGTAATGTGCCTGTGTTTTATATGTCCATTGTGAGTATGATACCTATTTTTCATCCTTTCATTAAATATTACGATAATAATGCACTAGGCCGTTGCGCCTTCTTTTTTTTTCTTTTGCATACATTTTTTTAGTGTTGTTTTCATCTCTTGAGACAGTGGCATTAGAACTATTTACAAGGTTCTCACAATGTGGAACCCTCCATGCTGTATACTCTGAGGACATGTTGGGGCTATTGTCAGAAAGGCTTGGTACTTAGTGCAGCTTCAGTGCTGTAATAAAGCATCCTAGGACAACACCTATAGCAGCACCCTGGGAGCAAACAAACTCCAGCATGAAAGGGGTTTGTAAGCACAGCGCTGAGTATTCCACTACTGAGAATGTGAACGATACTATCTCCAAATGTGGGCAGGAGGTTTAATGCACTTTGTAGAACACATAAGTGTGAATGGGTGTTTCTAAACAGAAAAGGTAGGTGCTACATGAAGGTGGGTTGAAATCAGATTTTTTTTAATAGCTGGAAATGTGATATTTTCAATTTGTGTGCCAGGGGTCAGGGGCATTCTCAATGGAAACCAAGTTTTGTGCAAGCACCTTTTAGATGTGCCTGCTTTAAATGTCTGGTAATAGTTTACAAGTGTATTAGTGACAAGTTCTCTTGAATTACTAAGTGCATAATAAGTGTTCCTTTTGCTTACAGAGTGCCATTGCAAAGAGTGCATCAGCTCTGTGCCTAGCCCTTCCAGGAAAGATTGCTGGAGTGTGCCAGTGTTTGATTGAGAAGTACACAGTGATTATACTGGATACCATACTGGGAAAACTGGGTCCAAAATTGGTGTGTGGACTACTACTCATGTGTGCTACTGAAGAGAATTGTGAGGCAGGTGGGTGTTTGTATGGCAACATACAGTCAGTCTTATGACTGTTATGACAAGGAGGTTTTATAGAACCTTGTCTGAAGCAAAGGGTGCAAATATGTAACATCTTAAAAGTGATGCAAAAGCCATAGACGTTCATCATGACATATTACGAAGGGAGTTACGATAAGAAAATATACACAAAGCAAGTATAACGTCATCATATAACATTTTTAATGAGAGCTTTTTAATTCCTCAAGCATGTATATTTATTGGTACCATCATAATCCGCTCCATCATCTTTTTAAAACACACTTTTTCCTTTCTTATAATGTGCAGCCTATGTCAAATATGCAGTTTGACAAGCTTTCAGTGTACAGCACACAGGTCAGCATGCACAGTTAATGGGTCAAGAGAGTGCAATGGCCAGGAGTATGTAAAAATGGGGGACATTTACTAAAAATAGAGAGTGCAAAATCTGGTGTGGCTCTTCACAGAAACCAATCAGCTTCCAGGTTTTATTGTCAAAGCTTAACTGAACAAGCTGAGTTTAGAAGCCGATTGGCTACCACACAGCTTCACAAGATTCTGAGTGCTGCAGTTTTAGTAAGCCTCCTCCAGTATCTCTTACAATACTGATGAGTGGGAAGAAAAAATGCCCAGCGTTAGTGGACAGTGGACCTTGGCATCTGTTGTTACTATGCATCGCACGCTTTACCTTTCTTTTCGATTTAGATTTATTGAAGTGTCACAAAATAACATTTAATTTGTTTTATTGGTCTTTCATTTATTCCAGATGGTGAACACAGGCCATGTATAAATTGTAAGCAGTACTTATTGTACAAAGCAATATATTATCTTCACCATATATGAATATGTTTAAAACAATTTC